CTAACTCAGTTCAACGAAACCCTGCTGGTTTCGGACACCACCACGATTGGCCACACCCACTACCACAGTTGCCTCTACCGTATCACACATACACACACATATTAGAGTTTACATATGCGCACATGCCATAGTGCCAACCCATACATACAGATAGGGATGTAGGTGCAGGGCAGTAGCAGCGATTGCAGCAGCCTCGGTCTTTTCCCTAAGGCCGTCTCCATTAACCGAAAAGATCGCCAGAAGCTGGAAAAGCGGCGAAAGCGCGTCAAGTTGTGTGACTGTGCCGGGACGATGTTGGGGCGGTGGCAGTACCACGGCTCGATCTGAGGCCGCCCGAGCGTCGGCGGTTCTGTACTGACTCCTGGGAAAGGTGGATCTCTTGAGTGAAGCGGTCACTTTTTCAAAGAGATCTCAGTTGCCAGTTAGCGGTGAGAGCGTCCGCTGATCACGGCACAGAAGCTGATCGTTCGTCGACGCCCGCGGAGTCTGTGAGTAACTAGACAAAAGATTCTCCTGTTGCTACTACGATGAATGTTGGTGGTGACTAGAGAAAATAGCTGTAATCATATCGAAATTGCCATCTCCTCGTTGTCTTCTGTGGAGTTTTACTTTGGAATTACACCATTTCTGCTGCTGGTCTGACCTGTCTGCTATCGTGCAGAAGATGCGACGAGCCCCTAAGCAGCTTGTTTTGTTTCATTGCTACAGTGATGATATCGTCGTCGTCGTCGTTGCCGAAGAGGAACAGTGCATACCTTCCGCGCCGGATACGAGCGTTTATAGGAAATTTCCTTTAGTCAAACGGTGCCGAAAGCGGTCCATTAAATTTTTCCTATATCTTTTTTTGCGTTGGATAGCTTAATTGGTCTACCTTAAGTTGTCATTGTCAATCTGTTAAGAGCTAGTCGCGTACCTTATGACAAATAGTCGTCTGGGGTCCCTTTTTCTGCAACCGTTGAAAGACTGACAACGTTTTTTTATGTCGCGTTCAGTACTGTATTGTTTGACTCCATGCCTTTTGTTCTCCATGGACCTGCGTAAGCTATGCATTCAAGCGTGATAATAGATGGTTCGCTACAGAATAGTACAGCAAAAGAGGAACTGATTTCAATTGCGCTAGGATAACGCGAGCAGTGTCAACAGATTACCTTTCTATCGTGAACAAATACACCTCGCAAAATCGTCATGTTTCATTAATATGGAAATTTGCTTACTAGCCATGATCAAACGAGGGTGCTTCCGGTCAGTGGCCCAGTTTCTTTTAACTGGGACGCCTGTGTCGACTACATCAGTCAAGAAATTGTTGAAGGTTCAAGTTAAAATTATGAAAATTTACAAAAATTGCCAAGTTTAAGAGTCCTGTGCAAAAATTACCGTGTGACCCAACCCAAGCATGACGATTTCCGATCAAAACGAACAGATAGTTAATGTTAATATCATCGTGTGAACCGAAGCCCCATGAGTCAATTTTTTGTGCGACGAATCAAAATTGGTGATGAAGTATCGATTCGAGAGAGGGGACAAGATTCGTGGTCTTCAAACAAATACGAATGCGTGAAAGTCCAAACGGTTTTCGTGTTCGTAATTAGAATCACCAGTTAACTAAGCTCGAGCCAAATAGCCTGCACCTCATTTAAAGATAAATGGGTAAAACGTTTCTCAAATTTTAGTTTCTGTTGGGATGTAGTGTAGGCGGAGGTAGATATAATATGCCGAATTTTCATGTAGGGCCTCTAATATCCTGAGGGGTGTTTCCCATAGGGTTACAGGGGGCAAGGCGGGGTGCAATAAGTGAAGGGTGTTTAGGCACACGCACTTTTGTAGTTGTTATTTAATATAGTCGTAACAGAGCTTACTGAGCAGTACGACCCGTCAATATAAATATCATTTTTCTCCTTATTTGAAATTAGATGTTATAATGATATTAACATATATAGTAGTAATACCTATATATAATAATATCTAGGTATTACTACTATTATTATAATTAGTATTATTATTAATGCTTTACGTTAGGCCTGGGGGCACAACGAGCCGGCAAGATCGCTAAGCCGTAAACGTTGTTATGCTGATAGATCTCTGCTCTAACAGGAGGGTTATTAAAGAAATTCCTGTTGTTTTTATTATGTTAAAACATTTCAGCATTATGAAATAACCATGCACAATCAAAGTTTTTTTTAACACACAAAGCAGTTTTTTTTCGTGCTCATCATCGCAGATAAGCGAAGTGATAAGTGACGAAACGATAAAGCTACAATTTAGATTTGTATGTCCGATTCCACTGAATTACGGCCATGAGAATTGGTTAGGGTACGGTGTATTGGTAATAAAACACATAAAAAAAAAATTAAGTGTTGAGATCCATTTTACGGAAGTCCTTCTCCAGTAAACTATCTTATACTGGGTAAGCTATTATCGGAAAAATTGAATGCGCACAATTTCACCGGGTTTACACTTTGGCTATTTTACACCCTTTTTGCCAAAGCCGCACACTGTCTTTCGTAGCCTCAAACCCTATGTTTTCCCACTTGATTTAGTTTGTTTATTTTTATAGCTAGTTAGTTTAGCAATTTGTTATTTTATTATTTTAGCTGTTAGTCGCTTTTAGTCAGCTGGTTTTAGATACTCATACACTTTTCAACCGCACCTATGTAACTTAGCACAAACGCGACACGAGAGCAGACGCATACGTATACTATATTTATTGTTAGGAGTAACGACTTCAATCAGTCCATTTGGCTCTCTGTGTTCGGAGGTAGTCTCTTTCACATCTAATTCAGCCCTTATTTCGTTCTCATCTTGTCGCATTGCTGACGCTCAAACTAAACGGTTAGGATCTGCTGGTTTGATATCGTTGAATGCGGCCAACGAAAGGATCATATCCTTAACCCAAAGGTAGACTGGGATAATTACCTTTATAGTGCTATCTCGATCACTACTGCCCTCTAAGCTAAAATGCCATCATAGCGGCAATCGAAAGATGTTGGTTTTCTAGATGGGCCACCATCAACATCTGGTGGACTTCAGGCAGCGAACGTACCCTCGAATGACGTTGCTTGTAGGAACGTAAAAGCTGACAACCTCGTAAAGAGTTCAATGACTTTGCACATTACGAAGTGCCTAGGTAAGGCAGGAGTTTTGGCCTGGAGCTGACTTGTTAGCCAGGGGTAGTTCATGTCGCAGGGGTACCGGAGCGGCAACGCGCTGCCAGCGGAAAACTCGGTTTCTCTAACTACTGCTACTATTACGACCTCGGTTTGATTTCAAGACAGACAAAAAGCGCTTAGTGTCTTTGCATGACAGCAATAACTTTACATGTAAATTTGACTCCTGACTTGAACTCTTTTAAATAATTCAAGGACTTGTCGTGTGCTTTACAGTGCCCTTCTTACATATTCATAAGCGACGCGTGCAGAAGGACATGTACTTTAAACGCTCGTACGAATGTACGCATACTCGAAAGCTACAATGGCAACTCGAGATGATCGATTCGAGAAGAATTCAGACATCTGTGAACAATCCAACTGTTTAACCTCAATAGACGCCATTTGGAATCAAAAGAGTAGATCGTATTTGGCATCGTGGGTCGTATTTGTTTTGTAGTGTATGAGAGTTTGCTAATTACAGCTCTGTGGCGCCCGGGCTTTACCTTTAACTTATCATTAGTACCTGGCATAAGTCAAAGTTTTCTCAATGTTCTTAAGAGTCGAACCATGCGCGCATCAAAAAAACCAGAGAGGACCCAGCTTGGAAATAAATGGATATGGCGACCAGATCTATTCTCTGCTATTGTCTGGTAAAATTAATTAACTATAATTAATTTTTTTTTAATTAATAAAAAATAAAACGTTTTTAGCATATTCCAGAGGGCACTCTCCTTAGATACTAATCTAACCTGCTATGAAATAAAGGCAACGCACTTATTTACCTTAGAGAAACAAATACTAGGTAGGACAAGGCAGTGCTTTAGGTCTTCCCCTCTCTGCCATGACACCAATGGCCGTTCTCGGCCCCCGTCGGTGCTCTTTAGCGGGCGCTTTCTCGCCTGTGTACACTTGGGCTATACACATTGGCCCGTTTTAGACGGACTCCTTCATCTTGGTTATCCCATTTAAATAACCGGCCTGGACAGCTGGCCGGCGTTGCTGATCGGCTCACTTTCGTTTTGTGGCAAGTATCACCGTTATTAAATCGTGTGCACCGAGTCTGCGGTGCCGAATAGATTCGACTGGAGTTGCTCACCAGTGTTAAAACCATTCTGGGACACTGACGCAAAATGCCCTCAACGATACGAAGACTAACTGAGCCGGATGACTAACTCGTCAATTTGACTTGTCGCTACTACAAAATGATGATACCCAATTTTGTCAGTGTCTTTTCGTTGCATTGCTCATTTGGGTTGCGTCGTATATGGAACAGACTTTCTTGTTTAGAATAGGAGTTTTCCACAACACCTCAAGAGCAACACGAAAATGCTATCATCAGCCCCAGGCAGTTGTAACTTTTTGGTGATCTGAGATTTATGAGATGTAGCCTGTGAGCTTAAGCTGATCGAAAAAAATACCAACAGATGTTTGACCAGACGCACTAGCTGTTCCCTCTATGGTAAGCGTTCAGTCGTTTTGCTTTGCAATAGAATCAACGAGATGATTCCGAGTCAGTGAGCAACGGTCCTCACCGCACGAGCGAGGGCGGTTCGGTCCTAAAAAACGAGCAGATCTCTTATTCACCATAGGTGAAAAGGCTACTTACGGCGATGAGTTGGTGGCCTTGCTTTGCCAAACCTGTCCTAGCTTGGCCGGTGGGCGCAGGCGTCACTTGTCGTTTACGAGCCTATTGCCGTTTCTATTGCTGTGATTGGTGATGACTGTTTCAAGAGACTAATGAAGCACGCAAATGTCTGAGAGAACGATGGGTATCGACTGAAATTGGATCTAAATTTTTCGTACTACTGGTTATAGCCTAACGGCTGCGAGGTGGCTACGATAGACGTTGTTGTGATTTAATAATGAGGCATGATCGCCAAGTAAGCATTCAGGTCTTCACAGTTTCATAGGGACCGAAGTTATTCAAGTTATTATAATCTTCCTGCAAAATAGCGTTTTCATATCTGCATGAAGAAAGTTGGTGCATAAATGAAGATCAGTTTTTCGCCAGTGATAATACCGAAAAGATAAAAATATGCCACTTTCGGTTTGTTACGGCTGAAAAAAGTTCCGATGGTGCGGGGAAAAAGTTGCAGATCTATTGATAACTTTATCATACTTTTTCGGTCAAAAGTAAAAATTGGCGTGCTGCTATAAAAACCAAACGGTTATTACCAACGGTGGCATTAAAGTTATGGTCAAAAATTGAACTTGAAGATCGAAGCTCGTTCTAAATAAATGAACTAGGAATCGAATGTTGCGCTACCTTTTTCGGCGAAATTGATACGAATGCCAGTACCGTATTTGCCCTAAGCAGTTCTACTTTTCATTTTCCAAAGAAAAAACAAACATGGCTGCACTTTATTTCTAGCATCCTAAAATGCTAAAGTGATTCGTTGTGGAGAATTTTGCTCCTCTCATGGCAAATTGTCAGACGTAAAAAATGGGTTTGTATGATTTCTAATTCAAATATCTTTATTATTACACTGCTGATATTGTGAATATCTACCGAAGCTGTGCAAGAGGCCCATAAACTAATCAACAATTTAATTCGGCCAGTGGATGGCTGACTTTATCAATGTTTTTTTTTCATCACTGAAAAATTAAGCGCGTTATTGTATACGTACAAATAAGTGACATCGATTTTTCCCGTTCAAACGGACTCCATCCATAAAACCAACCAGTTTTAAAATCAAGTCAGAGAGACCACTGTCCAGCGTGAACTGTACTACTTTCTCGCTGCTAGTAGATAGAGGTGCAGCTATAAATCTATACTTTCGTTGCTAATTTGCTTTAATTTAATGCGAGAACCAGGGTTTTTCGCATCGACGTTAACAATTTAGATTTCCTAATTCAGATTTCACTTATTCAATGACTGAAACACTGCGAGTAGATACTCAATTCAAGATCTCAAGATTTCAACATTTTACCTCTAAACAATTTCTAACAATTCTTTTCAGGTTAACAAAACGTTCTACGTCATAATCCTCTTATGAGAATCTATAACATCATAGTTGTCCGCCTTTCTCATGCTCAGTCGTATTGATCTCATAATATTCCGATAGCATCCCATTGTAAAGCTCTACTACTCACGCATACAGACGTTACAGCCATAGATCGGAATCATATCTTTGCCTACGTTAGTAGAAACGTGGATACATACTCATACTATTTATTGCCTGATCAGGCTTTTGTAGCAGCAGCAGCTACAGAGCTCATGAGATTTTCTAAAAACCCAATGAGAGTCGAGTGATAACGGTCAACCGCTAGTGCATCTCGATCGACGAGGCAGTCATGGTGACAATGGAAAAAAAAAACCATCACAACAGCGGCGCCGGGGACGGAGGGGGGCGTAGCAACACGAACGCCGATAGCATCCTAGACTCTTTCGGTCACTGGACTTTTTTCGAAGTACTGCAGCAAGCAAAAGCCCAGCTGATTTTTTGCCGCCATTTTTGCTGCTACTGCTGGCGCTGTGGCCGTGTCAAACCACATTGTAACAACTGGTCAGGTCGTTTCTAAGCGCAGACCACAACATTGGCGGTTCTAAACAGGAGCGGGGTTAGAGACAATAGGTTTCACTTGTTGTTATCCGTCTAGGATATCTACATGTGCGAGCGACGTGCTGGTAATTGGCGACGAGGCCACTTTGAGGGAATCTTAGTAACATTGGGTTTACGCTACGGGCAAGCTTAAAGGAGAAATCGGAATGAGGCCGCCAAGCCGATGTTTTGTTAGTACCTTAATGATCTGATCCGTAACCTCAGGGAAAAAATCTAATAACTCACTATCAGGTCAAATTAGTCGTATCAAGCTTCGATTCATGTAACCGATCAATCGGCGTAATCGTCTATGGAAGCAATATGTGCGGGACGTTAGTGATAGCTGTAACGGTGGCTCTAACAACAATCAATTTGAAAACAATTACTTCGCGATTTCAATGGAGACATGTGATCAGACTAATGATGACTGAAAAGAGTATAAATGATAAATGAGAACCTATTTTACCAAGACAGATGGGTAAGTCTTCAGTAGGAAAGCCTCTCTGTCAACTATACACATATTCATTATGATTAGTTCGATTTTGTTAACAGAAGAAAAAACTGTTATAAAATCATACAAAATGATCATTAATTGGTAATATATGTATTTGTATGGCATATTGTATCGACACGACCTTATGCAGTTGGTTGATTATAAAATTGCAGCTAGGTCTTTATCTGTTGTTTGAAACTATACGAATCAATTACTTTGTTTCAAGCTGTTGATTTAAAGACGCGATACCTCATTCGGGTAGCACGAACGTAACTTGTTTTCCAAAAGTATCAAGTTATACTCGATTTGAACAGTTACTTCAAGATGAAACCTATATAGCTCTATATAGGTCTATATAGGTGCTGCATAGAATCCAGAGGGTTCGGCGGCCTGTTTAATCCCCATAATTCTGGCGTACGGCGTCAACTATTCGCACTCAGCGTTTCGATCCAAGTACCGACATTCATTTCAGGTCGAACCTACGCCTACAGCTTTTGCATAATCGTTGTCTGCCTGTAAAGCCTAATTTTTTTTCTATATGATTTCCTTGCAGTATCACACACAGCCACCAAAATGCCGGAAATGACAGAAGTAAGTGACGTATTTTTTTGTAATATAAATAATGGAAATAACTTAGTATAATAATATATATCTCGTTATTGTAAATATATACCTTATATTTTTCAATTGTATTCAATAAAGGCGAATGAACGATCTTTGATTCATAATAATAATTTGCAGGAAGAGAAGAGGAAGATGGAGGAGAAAGAAAGGAAAAAAGCCGAGGTTCGACGAAGGCTCGAGGAGGCTTCTAAGGCCAAAAAAGGCGGCGGTGAGAAGAAGGGCTTCATGACACCCGAAAGGAAGAAAAAATTAAGGGTACGCGTTATAAATAGGACTTTTTCTGTTTTGATAGAGACTCTATAAAGAGAACTCGACACACGGAGGTTAGGTTAAAAGTTACGATTGCGTATAAGTTATGCTGGCAGCGACATTTAGTAGGGTGGTAGATTTTCGTGGACCCAAAGCGGTTTTCTAGCGGTAGCGTATTTGCCTGCTAAATAGAGGGATGCGTTGTAATGACTCGTTCGAAACCAAGCATAGAGGCAGTCACTTTTGTACTGTGAGCCAGCCGTCTGTAGTGATGGTCAACCAAAGTTGCAGCAAATCTAAGCTTGAAATATTCATTGTTGGTGTATTCAAAGCTGGCTGCCTTCTAACAATGTCGATTAGCGGACCGATGTAGCTGAGGATAGTAACGGATTACAAGCGATTATAGAGGTGTATTAGATTCCGTTAGTGCCTAAGAAACTCGCAATATTTTTTCAATTCATTTTTCCCTAGTGTAAATAACTATAAAGCGCACAAACTCCAGTCGATGGTAGTATCAGCCTCTATTATCCTGCAGGTAGTACAATTAGCTGGTTTAGTAAGCAGTAACTAAGTTTGTGACTCATCTCATTAATGTAAGCAGGATTCATTTGAAGGTTTTGTCTTACAATGTGTACACTTAAATAGCTAATGGACAACAGATATAGCAAACAACGACGAGGCCATCTTCAACAGTTTTTTTTTTTTGTAAACAGCAACTGTAATTATGTCGTATAGCTTCAACAATGGATAGCAATCATGTTCCATAATTCGAATCTTAAGAAAGCTTTTTTTAATTTCATGATGTATTTTATGAGCACCAGGATTCTCATAGAATCCCTTAATTTACTGATAATTTGTTTACTTAATCAATCTTACTGCGTCGCGCACGTCGTTTGCGGGGCTTGAACTGACAACCTCTGCTGGCTTCTTTCAGCCTCAGTCAGTTTCACTAGCTCCCAGCAAAACGAGGTATGCGCCTGCAGTTAGCGGATTTGAATCAGGACCATATCCAGGCATGAAGCAAACGCTTAACTTCAACACCATCACACAGTTTACTTGACTGTATTAATGCGTCTTCTTGCGTTCGTATTCATTCTTATTTAACAAACATCTTTTCCGGTTGTCTCCACACGTGTAGGCTCTCCTTCGAAAGAAAGCTGCGGAAGAACTGAAGAAAGAGCAGGAGAGGAAAGCCGAGGCTAGGAAAAAGGTCATCGCCGAACGATGTGGCCAACCCCGTAACATCGACGGCGCTAACGAAGGTACGAAGCAAACTTGCGCCCTTTACGATGAATCTAACAAGATCAATCTGGAAAAACGGATAAGTTTAGTAATGCTAATAATTGAGCGAGTTCCTTTTCACCAAAAGTAAATGCCTATTAGATAACGCTTCTGCGTTACCGCAGCTGGATTTTTTGAGTTGCTCTTCATGTTCTGTCCTCTGTCAATATTGCAGATCACTTAGATCGGCTGTTGAAAGATCACTAATTACTAGATCACGTGAAGAGTTATCGTTATCGTATCTTATGGGTAATATTTTTATTTCATTTCGTTGACCCAGGCTTCGCACACACTCCCGTTAACGTTAATTTGGGCTAAAAAATTGCATTCGTACGAAAATGTTACGATGTTGATTACTAACTTTTCCTTGAGGAAAAATCTTGTATAAACGAATAAATAGATTAACAGATCGTATTCTAACTCGTTCGTTCCTCTCTCTTCCTCTGTATATTGCTACAGCATCACTCCAGACGAGCCTCAAAGAGTACCACAAGAGAATCACGGAACTCGAAAGCCAAAAGTACGATCTTGAGTACGAGGTCCGCCAAAAAGATTTCCTTGTAAGTACGTAACACAAACTTAACAAAGCTTATGGACGACAAGCTATTCAAACACCTTGAATCAAGTCCATAGTATGATACTTATAATTAAGCAGAATGTGTGCTTTGCACAAGGCAGCATGCGCGTAGACCCCAGTGAACGAGACCAGTTGAAAAGACTCGAAGTTATAGGCCAACCTCTTATTTTCTTAGGTGAGTTCAGACTAGATACACCAGTTTCAATATATTATGCTCATAGCTTTTCTTTTTTTTTTTTATCAGTAAACACTTCGATAAGACATTATACTGAGATTATGCACTGTTGTTGAAACCATACTTAGAATATGATGATTTTATTACAGATCAACGAACTGACGATCCAGGTTAACGACCTCCGGGGCAAATTCGTCAAACCTTCCCTGAAGAAAGTGTCCAAGTACGTGTTATTCTTCTAGATGGGAAAAGCACCTAAATGAATGGGAAGCAAAGGAACTTTATTTTCTAGATACATTACTACACTGTATACTTTTCGTTTACAGATTCGACAAGATGAAGATCAAAAATGTTAAGACCGACATCGATTTTCGTTCGAATTTGAAGAGCGTCAAAAAGGACTTCAAGCTAGATGTCGAAGGCAAGGAGCCCGTAAGTATATAGCATCGTTATTTATCTTTTGATTTCATCAACTGCAGTCAGCTAAGTGGAAAGAAAACAATAGAATTTGTTCATGTTAATCTTGTTGTCCTGTTCATTAAGCTTTCATTAACCAATGTCATGCGAATTTGCCTTTGAAGGTCGAGAAGCCCGAGTGGGCTTTGGGCGCTAAGAAGGAAGGAGCCGCTGAGGAAGAAGAATAGAAGTCGTACGGTGCTGCTCGAAACGACCGACTTTTCAGAACTACCAACATCTTTTCTATGGTCGTCAATCGCAAATCCGAAATCCAGCCGACACATAATCGAAGATCACTACGATTGTGCCAAAGACTGGGCATTTTCGAACGAGCTAAAATAATGCACAAAAATAGTCACTTTTATATTAAACGAACGTGTAAAGAGAAAGCAATAACAATTGATTGATTTGTCGAGCGTCTGGTCAGGTGCAATCCATACCTAACATTATTTTTATAGACAGCTACCTACAAATGCATTATGTTTGTGTAGATTGTTTGATAGGCTGTTTCGGATAGTAGTAATGAAACGAGCAAATCAAGCACTTCAGTTGATAGAACCAAGGAACGTGACTTCTGGCTGTGCCGCACCAAAGCTTTGCTTTGATTGATGGCCCCCATAATAAAAGAAATGATGTCACCAAATCGTTATACATTATATAAAATATTGCTGAATGTAAAAAACAAATATGGTGTTCGGAAAAAACAATCGTCTGCTATTAAGGTCAACATAAAATTTGCGAAAATTGGCGCACTAATTACTATACGTTACCGCTAAATAAATCAACAATAATGTAATATATCAACTTTAAATGTCATGAGTCTAGTACTGAAAAGCAAGCCCGGTGTCAGTACGATAGATAAAGTCGAGCAGAATTTTTTTTAATTTTTGAAAAAATCATCTGACAACTTTTACCTGCCTTAACTTTCATTTTTACTATAATTAGTTCGCCTAATAACTACACAACTGAAAAACAAAAACTCCTAAACCGACTTTTTTCAAGTTAAACGGATTTATATGGAAAGGACGACGGAAAAATAAGTAAACCATAGCACGAAAGCCTCGATCTAGGTATTGGTACAGAAGAGAGTCTGGTTTTAATTCATAGACATTTTCTCTGCACAGTTGCATATTTGGTAAACATGCCTAACATGTGTTGCTTTCGTATTTCACTCACTCAGAAGAATGTATTGTTTGGATTTTTTTTACAGCCCCCCTGTTATATTTAAAGCAGTTGCGTACCGAATGTACCGACAATACATATTAAGCAATATTTTACATCCGAAAAAAGGTAGGCTTAACGTACATTCTATTGCAATACGTTACTCTTGATTTTTTAATTTTATTTGTCGTCAATGTGTTTCAACAATTGACACCCTGTGCCGTCCTGTTTACCGGGACGTGGCTGATATGAGAACTGATCGTCTTTGGACAAAACTTCAATTTCATACTCTTCATAACTCTTCGCAGTTACAAAAAAAATGCCCCATCCAACAGTGCCTTTGATAGGAAAGCGCCTAAGTACAGCTATATTATCTAAGCTAATATCCTAAGATAGTGCAGATTAAGTCTTCCAACTGTACAGGTAAACTGCCCTCATTTGCCTCACACACCTTACATGTGTGTTAAGGTTGCTCCTAAGATTAGCAGGCAAATATGTTGCTCATTAAGATAAAATCTGGGTTAGCTACCATTGTCAATCGCCCATCATTAAAATAGCCTGCATGGCCGTATATGTCTAGCTTTCGCATTGTAGTGTAACCGTTTAGCAAGCTTCCGTGTGTCTTACACAAACGCGATATGTTCCCCTTTGCTTTTCTTTAGAACGGCCACGACGATCAATTAAAAGATTAAACCCAAACTGTTCGAGCTTTCTGAGTGAATTATCGATAGCTCCTTCAACATATTTCGGTGTTCGACAAGATCCTACAAACGAACTTCAACTATATCATGGACGTTGCACCATTCCGAGGAAATCCGGTTGGGCTCTAGCAGAAGTGCTCTCAACTGAATGCTGCACGAAGGTGCTGCGTTTTGGGTCCGCATGAATGCCGGGCTAATAGGTAGGCTCTAGTCGCATGAGGTAACGTATAAAAATCTAAGTCTGTGAAAAACAATAGAGTTTATTGTAGATGGGGGTGAAGAAAAAAGGAGAAAAGAAATTGGCCCGCATAGCCGCGCGTTAACCCACATTCGGTCGCTTTCAGCTCTGCGCATCGCTATACTAGGGGTGGCTGGCTCCTCACGAAGTTGTCGACTCGAAGAGGATGAATATTGAATCAAATGATAGCTCACTTTGTTCTCACAATTTGGAACATAAGATGGGAAGTGGCAAAACTGACGAGGTAATAGGGAAGAGTACAGCGCTGGCTACGCATGTGGGCCTTGGCGAGGTGTAGGGAGGAAGTCGGGTTCAGGCTCTGACAGAGCAGAAATTCAAGGTAGAGCTTCGAAGTAGCCACATAGGAAAAGGGAAGTGAACAGTGATTCGTAGCTTGATTGTTTTTGAGACACGTCCGTGACGCCTTTAAGGATGGACGAACTGGTTCTGCATGAGTTATAGAGAAGATCATGGAGAAAATGTTTGCTTATTGGCCCGATGCGTAAAAAAGTGGCTAGGTGACCTAAACGTAGGTCGCCAAACGGAGTGAGACGTAAACGCTGCTCCATTCGATCGACGCGGAGAATAAATCAGAAAACACTGAGAAGACACTCTGTACCGTTTGAGAAACTACTTAGGCATCTATAAGCAAATCGCAGTTTACTTGCCTAACCTGCTTAGGTGATAAGCAAGCTTAATACATGGCCAAAGTTTAGCTGGTTTTACTCTGTCTCGTCTATCATATTGGACTTGCGAAGGCAAAACATCCGAGATCGAAAAACTGAAGGTAAAACGATTACGTTGCTTAGTATAATGATGAGGCACGTTTTTTTTTCTATACGGATTATTACCTCATATAAAACGTATGAAAGTAATCATCATCGTTATTTTACACATGTATACCGCCTTTATTTTGTTTATAGGGACCAATATCCGATTCAGTTTTTATAGAAATGACGCATTCGATTAAAAAGACTTGTAAAGTGATTGGAACTAGTGTACGTGCAGGACCAACTGGCCTGACTTAAACTTGAAATCTCGATTGCTGACAATTAAACACAAACATTTTATAGATAATATTTAAATTGACATTGCGAACAACATACATTGGCTAAAAATATTTAAAGTCTTATTATTGTCAAACTATTAAGGACTAACTAAAATATTATCGATTTATCACTTCGAATTTTTCGAAGTACGCGATCGATGTACACTCATCAAGAGTGTGTCTTGAACGAGTTTGTTATAAGAAAACAAAGCATCTGCTGACTATTACCAATATTACCTTGATCCAGTCGAAATTTTGCAGCTGAGTTCATTCAGAACAAAAGAGCAATATGTATAAGTCCAATGTGTCCCCTCCGAACGGGAATTACGCGCTCTACAACAATTACTTTGGGCTAAACGCCGGGCATTCAAGCTAAATTCAGCACTAACCCAGTACGAAGTGAGGCCTGCCCATCACCGCTGCAAATCTACATTTGGTCATATCCTGAAGGAAGTGTTTGGGTAAAAATACCCTAATTGTGGACTCGTACCAACGTACTAGATCTGGTCCTATCTTCGGTTAAATAATATGTCCTAGAAGCAATTCAATTGTAAGCCAATTCCCGGTGCGAAAAGAGTAAGCTAAAAATTTGTCCTTGTTACGCATTATTTTTGAACTATGCATCTCATACTTCCTGTAAACTGTAAGCCTATTTTTTTTAGTTAGAAGTTGGTTCTTGTTACAGATTACCTTTAAACCGTAAGGCAAGTTTTTTTTTTCCAATTCTAAACCTATCTTTACGAACTGTAGGCGTAGATCTATCGTTTGATGTACAGATATTTGTGAACGTCTGGCATAATTATGAATAATGATCTTCCCACATGTCACTGCAGACATATTGAGATTTTATTGATAGCTAAGCTCTGACGCATGTCAAGCGGAATACAGAAAGCCAGGGAGCTAGCATAAGTTTTTCGATCTTGTCCCATTTTAGGAGGTTAACTTAATTACATTGACTAACCTAGTGGGTTGCTCTACTGTGGACTTCCTGTGGACGAACGTATGTATGCAAGGCAGCATCGTAAATGTATACGCTAACATTCGTACTTAACTCTAATGGATTGTATTATTTATTTCGCAAAAGTCTACAGCGTGTAGTTTTCGTCTTCATTTATGTTTTACGCAAGGGACGAATAAAATTTCGACGTAAAAAACGTGTCATTTACTTAGAAAATAGTATTATAAGCGTACTCATTCCCTTTAGTTCATCTCTATATCAGCACTATGATCCAGCAATGTTTAGCCCCAATACTCAACTATATCACTGACCTACTAATTTACTCTGCAATAAATTAATCGAAGTTTACGGTTAGTTATGGAAGCCTATACATTCAGATGCCGTTAGATGCCTTGTACCCATTGGCTAATCCTGTTTGTGTGACCAGGGTCAAAATAAAAGATGTCTAGCTGTCTCGAGACCATGTATCGAACGGTATCTGATACCACTACGTTTACTATAGCACTCCGCGTCTTTGGGAAATCAATGAAGTCGTCCGCTAATCGATGGACGCAGCGATCCCACACAAGAAACTGTAGGTATTCGATGCGTCGGCCGATCAATCAGGTGTAACCAATTTACATTTCTTAGCACCTTTGTGTTTCGAATGAGTAGTCCAACCTATTCATGTAATTGACAGATAATGTGCTATTATGGTATTAGATTATGAAATACGAGACTGGCCTAAAGGACAGGAGTTCCAGGGTGCCGGAAATCTCTCAATGCCTAAAGCAACCTTAAAGTGGGATAGCTTTTAGGTTTCCTTTTAATGTGGAAACTAGTACGCGGCAAGACTTTCAAGCCTTCCTTGAAGTCTTCCGCTTCCCAGGTTATTCATTACTGACAACCCTCCGCTTGCTTTCGTGAAGAGTCCAATTTGATTTGGTATTACGCCCAAGTCGAAGTAGGTGACTATGAATTTGTCCCCTTATACAGGCGAATCTATCTAGAACGCTATGCGTGCGTGGAGTGTATGATACGAAAGCCACAGTTGTGACTTGTATCACCGTTCACCCGTGTTAGCTGCCTGGAGTTTTCCCACCATCTTCAGGTTACTCTCAACTGGGCCAATCTACGGAACATGGAACCGCTAAAACCTTCAAATCCAAGTGGATTTCGACTCCGAAGGAAGAATGAAACCACTTAGCGGCGAGCGCCCTCAGGCTCCAAGATCAACCGCCGCCGCCTCAGTAGGACCATCGACACACTTTCGCTAGAGGGCAGATCCCATCACTAGAAGACCGGTGAGTCGAAGTCGTTTCCCGGCCACGGCCACGGCCACGACCACGGTGGCAGTGGTGATAACTTCGGAAGACCATACGACTAGAGGGGACTGACTGCGGGCACCCGAGCACCGTAGCACTGGAGCTCCGCGTAGACAGAGAGAGATAGGGCAGCCCCACTGATCCAACGTGACTCGCTTGTCAACACCTGTGCGTGGTCGGCAAGGAAAAGAGAAAGTGTGGCTGCGAAGGATCAGGAGAACGTAGCTATTTTCCGAGCAGGACAAAGAGCTTCTAGAGAGCCAGTGTGAGTCTGACACACGGACGCAGAGGCCTAAAACAGGTACTTTGTCAGCCTTCGGATCTACTCATTTTCCAGGGTATCGGTGTACGGTGAGCACATTGTATGCTAATCATATATTGGCTGTGGTAAAAT